GCAGAAGCCTACAATCCCAGCACTCAGGAGGCTGAAGGCAGGAGGACTGTTGCAAGCTAAAGGCCAGCCTAGGCTACACAGCGCATTCAAGGCCAGCCTGACTACGTAGCCAGACCCTGTCTCAAAAAAAAAGGATTTCTGTGCACTTCCAGTGGTAAAAATAAAAATTTTAAAAACATTTCCACACCCTAAAATACCTACACACTGTATAAGAGAAATACTACAATTCCTTACGTTTGCTTTGAGCTGCCACAGAGAACAAATGGAGAGGAGACAGGAATATTTTTTTTTACCTTTGTCAAACATGAATAATTATTGAATAAAAATCACAAACACCAAATGGCTCAGTATATTCAGTACACGTACGCACGTTAATAAATTCTCATAGTAAAAAGGCAGAAACAAACACCCTACTCAAGTTATCTCTCAAATCTTTAATGCTAACCTGTCACATACCTACATAGATTTCTTCTTTTTAAACTCCTAGAAAGTTCTACCTGTACTACTAATTTATAACAATTACTATCTTACTTTGTCACTTCAAGTTGTCATGGATCTATTTACCTCCCTACAGAAAGTATTATAGAGCAAGGTACTTGCCATAAAGGCAACTCGTTCATTCAACAAGATCACTTAAAACTGCCCACTAAGATCTGACACTCTTCCTAATACACAGAATAAAAACACCAGGTCTGTAGTGTCAGAGCCACAATTTAGTAGAATATAGTTACATGAACTTCTCTACATAAACACATACGTCTGTTACTCCTCTGCTTAAAAGCTTTTGTTGGCTTACTACCTAATGACAAATAAAATTAAACTTCTGCATCTAGAACTCAATTTAAGTTCCTTTTTTCCACATATGCCTACTTTCTAGTTCCTGGACCTTGCAAGCATTTTCAACGTGCCTTTTTTTTTTGCCATTTCCTAAGACTGGAAAATTCTCATCAAAATCTTCCCAGAGATTCTACCATAAATCTTTTCAAGGCCAATTTTATACTTTCTTCATGAAGCATCCTTAGTCAGCACATTCTTCCTCTAAACTTACTTATACCACTCCTTGATACACCCTGTATCTCATAGCCTTGAAAATGTTCAACACAATGCCCTGCCTAAACAAAATGCTACATTATCTTATTACCCATTTAATTATCTTGATGCTTATACCTAATCACTTCTGACTTGAGGTCTTCAGAAAGAAAATTCAACTCCTGTCTCCAAAAATCAGTTGTTTTGAGTGTAAACTACAGAGATATTTCTCAATGTCTCAAAGATTTCCTCCCTTCTTGAAATGCTATAGGAAAAGAAGGAATCCACTGTCCCCTTAAGTAATAAATTGTTAGGAATTACCTACTTCTAAATATCTACTGGAAAAAAGCACTACTGTTCCACTTACCATGTTGTAATTTAAGTAGGTACTTTAAACCTGTCTCTCCGATCAAACCTCAAGACCAGGGATATCATGTCTTACTCATCTTTGTATATCCTAAGTCTAACAGCCTGGCACACTCAGGGCATTGAAATGATCTCCCAGAGAATACATGAATTCCACCTAGGTTAAAACATGTTCAAAATGCAAGAGCCTGTTAAAATATAATGGAAAGAAGTTAAGTAATATATTTAAATGTTAATTGCCTGTTAAAAAGTAATGAAATGTAGAAGTCACATGCTTTCCTCTTTTTGAGGGAATTTCAATACTGGGGATTGAATTCAAAGCATTCACACTAAGTGATACCCCCAACCCTTTTCTAGTTATTTTGTGACAGGATCCTGCTAAACTGCTGAGTATCCAGACTGGGCTTGAAGTTGGCAATTCTCCTGCTTCAGCCTACCAGAGTACTGGGATTATAGCGATGTGCTACCATAGCTGGCTTTATGCATTTATATTTAAGCAGTCCAGTTGCAGTTTACTTACAATTTCTTTTTTCAGAACTATTTATAACTGAACTCATATTAAGTGTCCTAGGAAACTGGGCTGGAAATGTAGGTCTGTGGTAGCATACTTACTTGCCTAGCAGGCACTAGGCTCTGGGTTTGATCTCCAATGCCACAAAAAAAAGAGAGAGAGAAATTATTTTATCCTTAGTCTTGTCATATTTTCTACTTCTTGGAAAGGGCTAAAAATGTGACAGAAATTGTTCCATGCTGCTCTATCAGCTATTTCACCAGTGTCCCTGCATAGTTTCAAGTGGTTCCTGTTTCTTAACCATTCACTGTGGCCCCACCCCCAAAAAACAATAACCAAGGAATGAGTTTCACAATCAGCACTGAGGAAGGTACATATATATTTGAATCTGCCTCCAACATATATAAAGAAACACTGTTGAAATTAAACATCACCATAAAAAGATAGAAATACTGCCCACAAAGTAATAAAATCTCTATACATGTACTTGTATGAAAATTCAGGCTATTTGAAAATTAACTTTTAGTTTGAAACTGTCTTCTCATGTTATGCTGTATATATACTGCATACTTTTTAATAAGGTCATACATATTAGATACTGATACCAGAGGAAAATTATTTAGAATTAGTGGACTATTTGGCACAAAATGAGCGAACACCCTCACATAAAGGCCGTAAGATGATGGTGGTGATAAAAGAAACCATTCTTCTTAATAGCTCAAAGGTAATCAAATATTATTCACAATTCATTAGGGGAATATGCTGACAGAAATGAGTTATTTATATTTTAATCTCATTGCATCTCCAGAAGTGTACAAGGCAGCTTTGAAAAACATAAGCAAAATACTACCAATATTCATCGTTCCAGTGACATAAGAGTAAAACATATCTCACGTTGACTTAAAGTTTATCAATAATCTGAATATCACTAAACTGATAAAAAACCTTAACGAACTCCAAAAAAATCCAACAAGCCTAAATAAGGAGCCTTTATCTCTACCTCTATCAACATAGTTAAACAGTTATTTGTGCTCTTTAAACAAGCATTCTTCAAAACAATTAAAAAAAAATGTGCTGGTTTTTGACCCTACCTCTAAAGATAATCAGGAACAAATAAAAACATTTATGAAAAAGAATGTTTACAGAAAACATTTTTAATCATATTGAAAAACCAGAAACAATGTAAAACTCTTATTAGGAAAGTATGCAGCTACTAAAATTAAAGAACTAGAATTACTGAATTAAAGATAAGACTTGCTTATCTAAAAAGACACACTATAGTACAACATGGAAAATAAAACTATGTATATATAAATGTAAAATTCAGAAATCTCTTTAGAAGGCTTATCACTGAGTGCTGGGATTTTGTGAAATTTTTACTGTAGTTGAGAAAAAACTCAAAAATTTCTGAAAAAATTCTGAAAATTGGGTCATTTTTATAATAAATCCTTTTTTAAATGGTTAGTAAATATGTTCAGTTAAATATGTAGAGCACCATAAATGTATGGCTTATCATTTCTAAAAGGCAAATCCGGAGAACTGGAGTGGCAAGCCAAACACTATTACAATTATAAGCACACATATATCACTTTGATTCAGCAATTCCAAGTTACAGCTACTCTCATACAAATGTGCAAAGACACATTTTTGTTAAAGAAGGTTCAAAGTAGCATCACTTAAATTAGCACAATAAGGTCTGTAATCCAGTTGAGGCTGAAGCAGGAGAATCACTGCTAAGTTCCAGACCAGCCTGGGCTACCTAAGCAAATTCAAGGCCAGCTTGTGCTACACAGTGAGACCCTGCCTCAAAAAAAAAAAGAAAAGAAAAGAAAAAAGAAGTAAATAAATAAATAAATTAGCACAGTACAGAACGTGACCTGAGACAAGATAAATTATATACATCCATAAAACGAAATACTGGATAGCCATGAAACAAGAATGCCATAGCTATGTATGTTAAGAGTTGAACAACATACAAGATAAAGTGTGGTTAAAAAAATAAAGAAAGAATAGTTACTAACAAACAATAAGGAAGGAAAGAGGATACAGGGAAACACTGACAAGTTTGTTTTCTTTTGCATAGACTACCTCTAGATAGACAAAAACTGTAAACAGTGGTGGCTCCCAGGTTGGAGGTGTAGAAGTAAGGGGTAACAAGACATTTCTCATTGTAAATACTGTAAAGCAATTTATATTGTTTGTTGGAACATATTTTAACACCTATGTATACTCCTTTTAAATTGTAATAGCTTTTGAAAATTAGGAAGTGAATTACTTTGCTATCTAAGACATGTAGGAAAAGGGCTTCAAGTGTCAAAATGATGCTATGAAAATAGCTGCTTTTACGAGTTTTAAAAGACTACCATTTGCTGCTTTAGACTATTACAATCAGTGAAAATTACACAGGACTGTGAACCTAAACTCTTCTTAGGAACAAAGGTCTTTACATTGTATTTTGTTCCCTCAGTACAGCAGAGGTGTTTTTAAAAAAAAAAAAAAAAAAAAAAAAACCACCTGTTTTCTCTCTTGGTATACAGTATTTACAGTACCTAAATAAGAGGATTTTCTACTGACCACAAATAAAATGGAATCCGTGAACAGACACCCTTCTTTTCCACTGATCTTAACGCCTTCAGGTCAGTTTGGCTTAGCCTATCCCCACATAGTAACAAATGAAATGCCTAAGGAGAAACAAACAAGATGATGACTCACTATAGTAGTTTCTACTCTACGGTTGTTCTAAAAAAGAAAAGCTCAAGAAAAATGTATTATATTTAACTACATTCGCAACTACATTAAAGTATAAACTTCAAGGCTCAAGTCAATACCACTAACATGCTCTGTAACTATGGGGAACCAATTCCCAGGAATTGGAAGAGAAAATGCTGCTCAATATAGTGACAGATCTTTTATCACACTTGTTCGATGTACTATCAAATATTAAAGAAACACTTAACAAGGTTACACAGGGAAGAGTTACCAAACCAAAACAGGTCTATCCAAGTTCTTGTTCAATACCAATACTTGTTAAGTATGTATCAAACTTCCTAAGTGGTTGACACTTAAAAAAGGAAAACAAAGATACTACACTCACCTTTAACGCTTTTTCTGTTAACATCTGCCCCCTTTTCAAGTAAATACTGAGCAATCTCTTTATGTCCTTTGTAACATGAAATCATCAAGCACGTGTGTCCGTGCCGGTTTGACACCTCCAAATCAGCTTTGTGTTCTACAAGGTACTTCACAATTTCCAAATGGCCATCGAAACACGCGGCCCGGAGGGGAGTTGAATTGGTCAAAGTGGTGTTGTTGACAGATGCTCCATGATTTAACAAAGACTGGACCACATTCAGATGTCCTGCGGCAGAAGCAGCCCATAAAGGGGGAGCCCCCTCAATAGTTTCGCCATCAAAATTGACTGAGCCCCCAACTTCTATGGAGGCACTGCACTGCTCTAGGAGGAATTCCACCATGTCGAGATGTCCGTACCTGGCAGCCATCAAAAGTGGCGTGGCCCCGTTTGTTTTTTCAGAAATCAAGGAGGAAACCTCCTCTTTGGATTTGCTTGCCAACAACTTGGTAAGAAGCCGGAGTTTGCCATCCCTCGCTGCGTTAAACACTGCTGTCTTTAGATCCATTTATGTCCAGGGGAGAGGCTGTGCTTTATTTATCCTCCAAAGCAAAGCTCCGGCTTAACTACCGACGCGGGCAAGGCACTGGACCCCAAAACGCCTGTACAAGCACGGAGATGTTCTTTCCTACGGCCTTCCAACATCTGACACCCAGAGCGCCAAACTAGAGAAAGAAAACAGAGGCAGTTTGAATTCTCCATAGGTAATCACAAAAACACTATTTAGGTTTTCTTAGTTTTTAATTCTGTGGGAAAAGCGGAGGAAAAAAAAAGCCTTACGTTACGGACTAGCGCCCCCCCCCGCCGAAAAAAAAGTGGGGAAGGAAAATATGGAAGGGTTCACGGGACCCAGGAGTTCGGTGGGCGGCAGGCGCTCCTCCAAGGGCGGAAAGTGTAAACACTACAGGCATCTGCTTTCTGCTCTCCAGCCCCAGCTTTGTTCTTTTTCGTTCCGCACACGCCCGGGTCGAGCACACCGAGGCGGCGCGGCGCCTGCGGCGGAGCCGGCCAAGGGCAGGCCGCCCGGGGAGGAGTGCACGCAGCGGCCCTCGGCCCGGCCCGGCCCGGCCCGACCCGCACTGGCGCTTCCACTCCCGAAACTCTGCGAGGCGCGCAGGAAATCCGGCCGCTTCCGCTCTCCAACTTCGCCCGCCCGATTCCAGCCCCCGCGGCCCGCAGCTTCTCCGCGGCCCTCGCCGCCCTCGCCTCCGCCTGCTCCCACCCGCAGACCCGC